ACAACTGCGCCACGAATTCAGTGAAAGTTGCCAGGTCATATACAATGTTTTCGTAACCATTTGCCGTTTGGTCAGCCTGAATAACAAACAAAAACGGTCTACTGAATAGTTTTAAGTAGGCGTAATTAGGGCGAAACGAGAAATAGCAGTTATGAGTGGAACCCTAGATAGACCCTCAGAGCCTACCATTCTGAAGATCGGTGAAATCACGTACCAGAGGCCTTTTCCGAAGGACTACGAAATTGCCACCTAGTCTTAAGTTTAATCCTAGGAATGCGATGTAGACCCCATTTTGCCCAGACTTAGCAATCATACAGGAGACCACTGAGGGCAAGGGACAAAGGTACATCTCAGGACAGATACGCACGGCAGCGGCTACAAGTAGCTGTGGGTTTCAGGTCAGGTTAGGGTTGTCTTTATCTAAGAAACCCTGACCAACGGTTACGCTTTGACTAGCTCACTGCCTTGTCCTTGGAACTAGTTTCGAGATAATAGTCGGTTGGAAAAAAGCTTCCGTTCTGTCAGGATAAATAGTAGGATTATGCAACGAGAGACCCGCGTTGATGCTGCCAACAGGAAGCCACAGACACAGCAATCCACGATCGCCTCCGATCCAGCTTCTAAACTATTTAGGATCAAAGAGCGACCTGACATGCTTGCGTACTTCTTTTTTTAGAATGGTTGCCTGGCGAGGAAGGGCCTGAGCACGTCGAAATGCACCCTTGACCAATTGAAGGACTCTGTGGGTCGTCGCTTTGACAGAATGAGGCGTTACGCACACGATGCATCCACCTGGACGCGAGACAATAGATTCAAAATGAGCGCCGCTGCGGCGACAGATCTAAAAGGGAGAGGGGTGACAACACGTGTTGCGCCCTTGAGAGGTGCAAGTCAACCTCTGCGTCTGATTACACGTATCCAGTTGCCTCAGTTCCAACAGCCATCGCCCAACAGCCTCCGATCTTTTGGCATCGTTACGTTACCGTCAAAAGGAACACGCTGGGGAATTTCCCTGATCTTCTTCAGGAGGGAAGAAGAAAAAGATCAGCAGCTACCCTTCCTCGATGTGCTCGTCAAGCGAACTCCCGACG